AGAAGTGGCACAGATCAAGGCAGGACAGGCCGACGACAGGCTCGCGGAGATGTGTCAGCAAATTGAGCAGTGAGTAAAATATCTCATGAAAGACACACTTTCTTTAGGATAGCCATGGGGATTAATGGCTGAGTTTCCTGTCAGCAGGCATTTCTCTTGTTGCTATGCTCTGTCTCAAACATCTTTTAGGTTGTGAGTTCAGATATCAAGACAGCTAATTACATTATCATGATGAAGCATAGAGGGGGAAGCATTATTACCATATCAGGCTCAGGCATGCTGTTGAAAATTTGGGACTTCGGTTCATTAATGTTGCCAGTGAAGGTACAAATTCCCTAAGAGATGTGCTTAGACAGGCCATACCATGTTTGAACTGTGTCTGGGGCGCATGCCAAGCTGTGGGTTCTTTCCATGGAGATAAAAAGCAGACAAACTGTTAAGCTCAGGACTCTGTGCAGTGCTGTGTTGCATTTTTATTTATTTATCTCTATTTTATTCATGAGTACTGGTGGGGCCTTGGCTGTATAGTGTTGAATGGATGATAGTGAACACTGAATTGAAAAGACTGCGAAGGAACAGGTCATGCATAATTGAAGGCACTCCTGGTATTTCCTTGGAAGCACTGATGGAAGCAATGTATCACCTCATGCTAGTCAGTGTCTTGGCCAAGATTTGAACCAGACACCCGATGAATACGAGTCAGAAGAAGCATTTCTGCTTTGTTCTGCTTGTTTGGTGCCAAGGTTTAAAATTCATGGAGCATTACCTCCTCACCTCTGTATACCTTAGGGACACTCTGAAGATATTTTGATGCAAGCTTCATTTCACTGTAATAATTTGAAACGGTGAAAGTGGTGTATGTTGCAGTCACAAAAATAATGTTATATAATTCAGACTATGCAGTTAAGGATGTGTCTATTAAATTTTGTTTTCATAACTGTCTAGTAAATACTGTACACTGAACGTACCCTGATTGTGTTGGGACGTTTCTTTCATGTCAGAGAGGAGAAGCAAAAGGAGCGAGATACAGAGGCACACAAACGATGGCTGCAGGAACGACAGGAAAAGAAGATTGAACTGGAGAGAGCATGGAAGCCTCCAGGTATATGTCAAACAGGACATGAGAACTGCTCTTCACATGTTCGCATTACATAGTTGCAAGTACATTTATTAAGGGTCATTATTCCTGGCTCTCTGCATGTAACAACTCACACCATGCACAGATTTTTATGAAAATTGTCACTGAGGAGTTTAACTAAAATTTATCAACCACTTCTAATGCTGGTTAATCTCACAGAACAGTGACACACTTTACACAAAGATGTATGTGTATTCTTGCACAGATCTTGAGTGTAACTTGTGAAGTATTAAACACAGTGAGAAATGTGTCAAGTAGAAGTTGAGAAAAATTAAACACATTTTATGCCAAAGTGTTGTAGTATTTTACCTAATTTACCTTGTAATGTGAGAACCATTGGGCTGAGTTTTCTACTGATCTGCTGCTTCATCTGTTTGCCATTTGTAAGAGAATATGAACAGTTTTCATTCATGAATTGAAACAGAGAAGCAATAACAAACTGAACACATGAGAATTGTCATATTTTGTATGCATTTCCTAACTTGTTTCCTTTATTTACTGAATCTTCTGTTCAAGATGTATTGCTGATTTTTTCCTTGAGGTGAAAGGTGACGAGCATTAAACTGACCATTCCTCTTCTGTAGTGAAAATTTTGTGTAATGTTCATCAGTAACAGTTTACAGAGTAAAATTGTTTGTATAATAGACTATTGCTGTATCAGAATTAATCATAAGATGTTGATACTTCTGCCATTGTGTATCAACTGATGATGCATCTGCTGTTTTATTGAGTTCTTGCAGAGAATGGATAACATTAAAGAAGCTAGATAAAAGTCCTTGTGATGATTACCTTGCAGTGACCCCAGCGTCACCTCATCGTAAGAAGATTCAGCGTGGACCCGGTGGTAACCGCCGCAATAGCAGCCAATCAGAGCCAAGCAGTGAAGCAGACAGCGCCATGGACAGCCCCTTGAGTGAGCCACTTAATGTTGATGTGAGTTGAATTGAAGGAGTGATTTTCCCAAGGCAGTGTATTTGTCTAAGATCAATTTTTATATGCTAGCCCCACATCTCTCTCTCTCTCTGTCATCCAAGTAGTTATTTTCCAATACCTTTTCTCACCAAAGTTGTGCACTTACTTGTTAGTCCTAGGTTTGTGTCCAGCCCTTTATCATGCTTTGACATTTGACCAGCAGCGTTAGGAGATGAAAATAAATCATACAGTCTTTTACTGTTTATTGTATTCCATTCAATTTGATCATTTTTGCAGGTGATTGGAGATGAAAGTACAGAAGTTTCTGCAGAAGTTAAGCAAGCGGCGCCTACTCCAACTTCGCCATTGTTGACAAGTCTACTCAAGAGCCCATCACCTGCTCCAACAGCTCAGGTAAGAGAAGCTACTGACAGTCTTGTATAATGGCCTACAGAAAAGGCCGTAGGTGACTTGTATCTCTGGGGCATGATGTGGGACACACTTGTACTGAGATATACCTGCCATGCAGAGCACAGAAGCAAAGAGAGGACTCTGCACATGACCTTTATGTAGTGCTTAGTACACTTGCTTCCTTTTGAGAGATCAGATATCAGTCACTTAGAAAAATGCTGGTATATACCAGATGCAAGGTACCAGGAAGAACCCTTCTCAGATTCTCTGTTATTGTCCTCTTCTTTCCCATTCTCGTTTTGTTGTTATCCTTTGTCTCCATCTTCTCCACAGTTATTATTTGTCTCCATTCTGTATCGCCCTCTTTCCCTTCCCCTTCCCCAGTTTCTGTGGATCCCCCTCCTCCCCTTCAGTGCTGTCTCACAGTTGTGAGTGCAGGATCTGAACTGGACAGAAGTTGTTTTCCACGCAGAGTTTGCTTTCCTTGGTAATATTTGCTCTGAAGCACTTAGAAATGTGTGTGAAAGAAAGTAGAGAGTTGTCATTGAAAGTAATACCTTGAGCAGGTCTCATCCCAGCACCCTGACCCTTCAGCTGGTCTGAACCCATTCTGAATGTGGTGGGAAAGCTCCTGTCTGTAACTGAAATTATGTGTATCTTTGGCTACTTCATTGAGTGGCTCAGTCCTGATTATCATAGTCATATGACATGGAGGTGAGCAGTTTGGTCTGGCATTTAGAAGGTACCTGCTTTGAATCCTGTTCAGAAACTGGCTATCCTGACAGGAGTATCATGCTTTTCCTTATTCTTGCCATGCTTATAGGCAGTCCCTAGAAATAGCCACAACTTCCTCCTTCCCCATGCATCCTGATTTGTAATTTCTGCCATATCTCATTTGCAGTGTGTATGTAACCTCTGTAGTTGATTCATATCTATAAAATAACCAGTCTGTAAGTAACTTTCCTTCTCTCTATCAGTGTAAGTTCTACTGCCACCGGGTGAACACCCAATTCCAGTAAAATAATAATTAACCAACATGAACTTCATGTGTTGCAGTCGTCAATCCTGCATTCTGCTATCACAGCAAATCATCGTGCAGGGTCAAACAACCCCACAATTGCCAGCCTTCTGCATTCGTCACCAGGTATTCCCGCACCAGGCGTATTGAGTGTGGCACCTCCACCTGTTACAGTGTCGTCTAGCCTTAAGAATCTGGTGACAAGTGCTATTGGAGCTGCAGGGGCTGAAGACACCCCAAAACCACCCTCTGCATCTCCTGCTGCTGGTGAGTCATCTGCTGTTTTGTGCAGACAAGGGAAGGAAATCTGTCACACATCCTCACACAGATCTTAATGACACCTACCTGCACAACATTCATGCCTTGTTCTGCTAGAATCTGCCTTCTTTCCCACTGGAAACGAATGTTGTTTGCTGTCCACGTTTTTGTTTATGTGATTGTGTAGTATACAGACCCTTTTAATTTTGCTCAGATATTCATCTGTATTCAGCACTGAGAGTAAGGAATGTGTGGATCTTCACCTGTGTGTCTCTTACGCTATTTGACTTTATCCTTGTGTAAGTAAATGTGAAATTATGTTCTGAATGTGTGTGCTAAACTGCACCACATGAGCCCATGTTGTATAAGGGATTTACCTTTCTTTAAATTATAGAGTATTGGGGTATCTGATGTTTGATGAGCTAACAGTACAAACCATATTTCACTGTGTAATCCAAATGCACGATTTTTTGGGATTTGTAAAAATGATCAGGACGGTGTCACTGCGTGAACTCACCACAGAAGTTAACGTTTTCTCCGAAACTCTGTTTAAACCATGTACATATTTAATTGCTTATAGAAGATAATTTATCTTGTTCTTTTTGCTTGCTCTTCACACCATGCTCGTCATATGCACAAGTTGATTACCTATGGCAGGTGTCATCTGTCATTTCACATGGCTGTAAGGTCAGAGTATGACTATTTTCGCAGGTCTCTTTCATATACAGTATATTTCTGCTCACTCTACCCTCCTGCTTGCTTCTGATTTTCCATCTGCTGTTGGTGATGTGTTCAGTTTGTCTGCAATAATTTGGCTAAATGTAAAGCTTGAGAATATCTGCATGTGTGAGCACGAACACGGTTGCATGGGTCATAGTGTGAGCTTACAGTTGTGTGAGCGTGTTTGTCCCCAGGAGCACCCACGCTCTCCATGTTGCTTGAGCTGCCACCTAGCCTACCTGGCAAGCCTCTACCCGAGTTGCCTGTCAGCAGTGTTGCCAAACCTCCCTACCAGCACTTGCCTCCCAGCACCAACAAAGCAGGTAAGCCCAATCTGGGAACACTCTCAGCATACTGTTTGTTAGTCATGACAGTTCACAGCACAGTGCAAGAAATGAATGTGTAATGGAGAGGTCTCAGGTCAAAACCTGAAAATTGAATTTTGTCTGTATTTAGATGCATTTTCGTGTAAATTTAGTTTTGCTTAACAAACATCACTGTTGGCTGGATAGAACCCCTGCATTCTATTCAGTAGGTCCAAGAGTTAAATCTTGTCCTCGAGACTGGCAGTCTTCACCAAAGGTGTTCATGATTTCCCTCAGTTCCTCCAGGAATATGGGATGATGGTGTCTCAAGTTAGGCTGTGTCCATTTCCTTCAGCAATGTTTCTAGGTTCACTAATAATTTTGTCATTTGACATGGTGTAGTCTGAGTTACTGACAGGTTCGTTAAATCCCCGAACCCATATGTACCATAGGAGCTGTGTGTGCAGCATCTTGGAAACATCTTCACAGCTTCTCTCTGTTGAGATACACTGAGACTGTCTTGTCACCTATTGGTTTAACTAAGGACTGCCTGTACCCAGTATAACGCATGCTGTTCTGGCAGACCATGAAGGATATTAATTAAATAATGACATAATATATTTATTTATATCATTTCATTTCCAAAGCGAGGATAGTGTAGTCTGTATAGTGACTGACTATGGGCTGGATGACCAAGGAGTTGGAGTTCAAGTTCCAGTAGGGTGAAGAATTTTCACTTCTCCATGTCTTCCAGACCGGCTCTGGGGTCCACCCAACCTCCTGTCCAATGGGTACCGAGGGCTCTTTCCCTCAGGGTAAAGCGACGGGCGTGAAGCTGACCACTCACCTCCAGCTAGTGCTGAAGTCAATAAAATGTGGATCTATACATCCACTTCTCCATATGCCTTCATGGCGTAGTGCTTAATTAGTTAAGCACAGGAACAACTTTACCTTTTTACCTTACCTGTATTTTATTTCAGTTAATGCATTCTTTTGTCACTCAGCAAAACAGGTCGACTTTTCACAGCATCTCATGCCAGTCATTGGATTGCTTTGGCCATACACTCTTCGTTTGATTGTTTTCCAAGCCATTTTGTTGTTGCCACAGCAGAATCAAAAATATGAAGTCCGTGTTGTGGCTTATTTAGCTTGTTTGCTGATAGCAGTGAAATCAAACGGTAAATCTGACTGTATCAAGGAAAGGTATGGACCCTTTCCAGGTGACAGTTTAATCTCCATGCCATAGCTGAGTTGTGTTCTCTTATATATTCTCTGTAGGTCTGTGATTCACTTATCTGCACTGTAAGCAGCTGCCAAGTAGTGTCTCAGTCGACATTCCCACAAATTCATTGCAGTTGGTGAGGAGCAGAAACGTGCCCTATGTAGACTGCTATATATGGACAGTCTGTATACTTGTTGGGCTACAAGCACGGCTGCTTCCTTTACTTCTGATGTGTCTCGGACAAGTTAATAAGGAAAATAGTCAAAGTGTGATGAAGCTTATACTGTTAATTTTTTCACAGTTTACTTAATTGTGTTGAATATTTAAAAAAAAAATCGGAAATTTTGGGCAGGATATGAACAGGGTGCCCCTCAACAGTTTAAATGTCATTTGAGAAAGAGGGAAGTGTCTGAGTGACTTAGAAACTGGTTTGAGTGCTTCCCTAAACCCTAAATGTATAAAATACTTCTGATTCATATCGGGTCACTATATCCCCTATTTTGTTTGAAGCTCAAATCAGTCTTAATTGAAATTTTACCAGAATGGTTTGAGAAATGTTGGTACCTATGGCTACCTGAATACACATTGCAGAAGACCATAATCTTAGCAGAGTGAAAGCCCTATTTGAGGTTTCTCTGCGAAGCTGTGTATTTGGACACTAAACCAAGGAAAATGTTAAATGGAAGAAATTTTACTTTCAGATTATTGATTTGGAATCATTGAAATTAAATGTTAAATGAGAGGAAACCTTAAATTGAGGAACATTAGTTTGGGATTCCAGTCTGTAGATTATGTTTGTTACCGACTTGTTTCTGTGCCATTTGCAGCAGGGGAGGTGTGCCACCCTCAGCACCAAGAGATGCGAGTGCGCCGCGAAGTTGGCACAGACGAACCCGTCGAAGTTGTGGAAGTGGAGCAGAATTCTGACACAGTGACAGTACCAAAGTATGTGTTCACATACAGTTTCTGTACTTGTACCCTATTCTGTGGGGATGTAACATGTTTTCTCTGGTACCTGATGTTTTGGAGGTGCTTAGTTGGAATCTTGGCTAGAATGCCAGGTTTTTGTTGTAGTTTTCTTCTGTCCCTCCAGAATAGTACTTCAATTTATGCCACAACTGCTCCCTTCTAGTATATCTGTCTGACTGACTGCTAAATTGCTACTGGCCCATGCCAGCAGAATGGACTGGATTGAGCTGGCTCATGTATGATCCAGTGGCAAATGTAATGAACCTTCGGGTTCCACAGAAACAGGGACTTCTCAACCAGATAAAAGGCCATGATGTAAACTAATTATCTCTTAATGAACATTATTTTTGTGATGTTTACAGTTTGCGAGACCAGGTGGTAGGCCTGGAGGTAGTTGTGGAGCCGCAAGATGTGGGGACCCTGAGGCCTCCACACGAACCTTCACAGAAACTGATTGATGAAGAACTCGAGGTATGTAAACCTGGTCCAAGTGGAATATACAGGTTGTTTAAAAAATGTAGTCATAACTTAGAGGAGCATTTGGGGTACAGGATGCAAATACACCTGTTCTCTGAAATTCCTTCGTTGTGCATATTTTTCTGTAAGGTGCCCAAAACATTCGAAGTATCCACTGGTGGTATGCAAACCACAGTTTACTTACAATTTCTTGGATGTCTGTGCAGGCTGTATCACAAGCCATAGCTGATGTTGAGAAGATGGAGAGGGAGGAGCAAGCTAACAGAAAGGCGTTGCTTGAGGCAAAGTCTCACTCAGACACGAAGGAGGCAGATGAGATTCTGTTTCCATCAAAGAACATCTTGGAAGGCGTGAAAATGCTAGTGGAGGTGCCCGCCATGGTCGAGACCTCTGAACCGGAACCGCAGACAGTGGCGGAGGTGATAGAGGTGCCAGCACCAGGGCCCAGTGCTGGTGATCTGGACATCATCATTGTCGATAGCAGCGCCTTGGGTGGACAAGAAGAGGTACTGCCTGACACAGAGCGCCAGATGGTAGAAGTCATTCTTGATGGGAAGAGTGAGCATGGGAAGAAGCAAGACATCGCCAGTGAGGGCGCTGCATCATCTGATCCTCAGGAAACACTCAAGGATAGTGGTGAGAAGGTGACAGTAGAGAGTGAGCCACAGGACAGTCTGACAGAGAATAAACAAGATGATTCATCTAGCACTTGTGATCCTGATAGTGCAGGTGTTAGTGAAATTGTGACTGCAGAATATGACGTTGATCGAGATCTTGGAATGGATGAAGCATCTAGAATTGAGATTGTTGCCATTGAAATTCCTACTTCCAAAGCAGAGGAGAAAGAAATCAGTAAGAGGGATAGAAATGAACAGCTTGATAAAGAGAAGGAACAAAGCATAAAGAGGGAAGGAAATGAGATGGTGGTGGAGAAAGATAATAAACAAGAGACACCTGCCAGTGACAGAGCTGTGAATAGTGGAGAGCGGAAAGATTCAGTAGATAGGTGTGCAGCCACAAAGGACTCAGTGTCTGCTGTAGACTCTGAAGGGCAGTGTTTGGAGAATAGTGAGGTTAAGAAGGACACTGTAAAGAGCGACATGGAAAAAGAAATAGCAGGAGAAAATTTGGAAGATGAAGTTGAAGAAAATGTAGAGAGAGAGGGAGCTGCAGGCAATGAAACAGTTGATGAGCAGTGTGAGAAACAGCAAGAGGATTTGCCAACAGCAGAACCTAAAGAGGGAAGTGTCAATCAGCCCAACGAGACAAAGAAACAAGACACAGAGGGAGAGGAATTGATGACAAAGGTACATGATGTAACAGAGATTGGGGAGGCAGTTGATGAAGATGACTCGCGTGCTGAAAGCAGTGAGGATGAAAAGAAAATCGACAAGAAGGCTTGGTCTGCAGACCACGGGGAGGAAGCTGTTTTGGAGAATGCCAGGTACTATAACTTTTGATGTTTTATCAAATTTATAAGTTATTGATTGTTGAATAATATGATTATGAATGATTTGAAATGTTATGACTGAATGGGTTGATGTAGCAGTAATGCTCTCTATTTGTGTTCAGGAGGTGCTTAGTTTGAATTTTGGTTGGGACATCAACCATCATGACTACAGTTTTTCATGGTTTTCTTCATTCCCTCTCTTGTGCCGTGATGACAGGATTGGTTAAAATAGAATACTAAATTACTACATCAGCCATCTCTCTTTGGCTAATCCCACCACTGCCACCACTTGTTGTGCCAAACTGATTGCGACACAAATATTTCTCTTATAAATCTTATTGCTGACACCAGTTGTTCTGCTGTAGGGGGGGGGGGGTATTAAGTAATTACCAAAAAAACAGTAGTTCACAGTAGTCTACTCTTAGTCGGCTCCTGTCCCTCAGGAGCCTCTCTCCCTTCCTCCAGCTTATTCTTCCTGTGCGGACTGTCGTTGCTCCCTGGTTCCGAGCTCACAGTTCCCATGAGACGTAGGGTAACGCAGGAGCGGTAAGGGGAAGGAGCCTAGTGGGTTGTACCAATGAAGTACATTTCCATCCTACTCTATTTGTCTAGTATCTACATACATACACATACGAGTATATACAGTAGTTAATGCCGACTGCTGTCGGGTTTCACAAGGTTCACATATATTCGTTATCCCTTCTGTACTGACACATGGTACTCTAGCCTGCTCTGTTGCTTATTTAGTCATTGAGTTTGCACTTTAATAATATTACCTTATATTTCATGGCTAATATGAGTAGTTCGACTTACTTGAGAAAGATAAGCAGATGATCATTGCCCACCACCACTTTGTCGGTGCCATGATGGACATAGCCTCCGGCTACACTCCTTGAAAAGATTGTTTGATTACATTTTCCATTTTGATACTTTTGTACTCTGGAATTGATGGCTCATCATCTTCCGGGACGGTGAGCTCCCGCCCCTTTCTGACGCTATTTCTGAGGGTGGCTAGTGCTCATTGGATAGTTACTTCTCACGGCAGCGAATCCCGTTCTGCCAGCCTCTGTCTACTCAGCATTTCTATTTCTCCCAGTGTTTTACCGTCATGAGCTCGCTTACTTCCGCGTTGTCAGCGCGGCTGTACTGAGCCAAAGCATTCTTTTTTTCCAGGCTCTTTCCCTTCTGCGTTTCACAAACATGAACCTTGTGTCAGCATAAAACCTTTTTTACGATCCAAAAACATACTGTCGATGCCCCCATATTACATTTGTAAATTTGGGGCATAGCACCCTCCATGCAAATGCTGAGAAAGTACCACAGTTATGCTATGAGTGCTACCTTCCAAGTCCTTTTCAATTCGTTCATCTATCATACTGTCGTTTGATGCTATATAGTCTATTTTTTTTATTGCTAGTGGGGTGGGACTAAGTCCATTGTACTGTGGCCACCTCTGGCCTATTGTACCAGCCACAGATGATAGGTGAGGGTGATTGTGGAGCAGTTGGTGGAATGAAGATTGGCAGGGGAAATTGAAGTACTTGGAGAAAACCCACCCCAGTGCCACTTTTCCACCACAAATCCCGCTTGACCAGACCCGGGATCGAACCTGGGCCACTGCAGTAGGAAGCCAGTGACTAACCGTGTGAGCTATGGCGTGGCCTGCTGTATATTCTAGCTAGTGACACCACTGTTAGATGCCTCTGCTTTGCTGCAGTATTGATGGCAAGAGAGACCACTGGATCTGTACCTTTATGTTGAAATGAAAGAGGATACTCTCACTTTGCTGTATTTATAAGCTGTGAATGCATTTCAGTTTGTTAGTGAACGTTGCCTGGGAACCCACTCCACGAAACCAAGTGCCAATCAGAAAGCTCCACAATAGAAAGTTCTGCTTTTCATTCAACTTGCACGGCTGGTAGTGGGCTGTACCTTAGCAGAGACAGTCATAGGACAAGGAGTGTTTTAGCTTGAGTTTCATCCAAGCACAAATGGCATTCAGTGCTGGTGCCCCCTCCCCCCACACACAGAATTGCAAAAATTACAAAATAAGGACTCCAGTTTAAATAATCTTAATAGTATGCATCCTGTTGTATGTCATAAACAAGGTACACAAAATGTATCCAAAAGAATGCAACAATATTCTGTATTTAAAACAAAATAGACACTCTTGTATCAACATCTGTTTTTATTGACGCAGCATGTTTTGACCCTTATACAGGGTCATCATCAGGTGTAAAATGGTACCAGATTCAGTTGCTGAATTGCATCTAATTCTTCAGCAAGGATCCTTATTGTGCACTTGAGTGTTTCTAAATGCATTAATTGAGTCTTTCAGTTAAAATTTTGAATACTCTGATAATAAAATTTAAAAATTAGAGACTAAAGATTAAAAGATAAATGTTAAAATTGTTCTAAAATGGAAATGAAGTATTTTGCAATAAATCTCTTGAAAACTTTATGGCCGCTACATATTGACGTGATTTTCTGGTGGTAGAAGCCTGATGATGTCCCAGTGCAAGGGTCAAAACATGTTGTATCAGTAAAAACAAATGTTGATGTGATAGTGTCTACTTTGTTTTAAATACAGAATATTGTTGCATACACTGCATACTTTTGTATACATTTTGTGTACCCAATTTAAATAGTTTTGCCTCTCTTTTGCTTTCTCTTCAGTGAAATTTGATCATGTCTTTATGCAAAATGACAGGAAGCTTTGTGACTTCATTATAGTTAAATTGAATACCATGCTACACTAAAGCAGTAGACTTAAGTTAGTTGCCATTTATTCCTGAAAACTTCATAGCTTTTCATGTGGGTTAGTGTAGTCAAATAACATCACTGAAAATATATGCCCCTCTTACAGCCCACTGGCGAGCGTCACAGGAGGCAAAACATGGAAGGGGGAGGAGGATGATGATGAAGAGGTGGGAGACAAGAAAGAGAAGGGAGCGTCTGATGGACCAAAGCAGTTACCTGACAAGATCGCTGCCACACAGAAAGTAACAGTTAGGGCTGATACCCCATCCACAGAGGATGACAAGACGAATGATGCTGTGGAACCACCACGAAGTAACCGACGGCGGGGCGCCACTGCAACACCTGTTGACTCTGTGCCAAACAGTCCTGCCGCACCTGTCACGTGAGTTGAGATTTCTTGCTTGTTCGGTAGAGGGAGGAATGTTTCTGTCAGTGTCCCTTGAAGATCTGAGTCATAGGCCTCATGAAACATGAGGTCATCTGTGGTTTGTTTTTACAGTATTCTGCATGTTTTATCATGAAATTGCAAAGTACATTTAAAATAAAATTTAGTATGAGTATTGACTGGAGGCTTGTGAACACAGTAATATCCTTTTGAGTTTGATAAGAAGCACAATATTAGTCGAGTGTCTGAGCCACTCTTTGCTTCTCCGGAAGGACTATGTTCCATGTGAATATGTAATTATTGGAACCAGGTGTTGGAAAGTGAATTTCATATCAGTGCACACTTACATGAAGGTCAGACCATGTACGTAGCTGAACGAAGGAAAGTAGGTGAGAAATGTATAGAGAATTTTCTTGAAGAAGTTTCTTTTAAAGGTGCATGCAAAACCAAGAGATAAGTAAGGAAAGAACTGAAGGGGATCACAGTGAAACAAATCATGAGAATACGGACTGAATTAATTTGTCTCATGATTGGATCTAGTGGATGGTTTCAGTGTTAGGGCAGTATGAACCTTGAGGTTCGGTAATCAGAATGTTCTGCCCTGAAGATGGAGGCAGCATGGTTTTCTGAAACGTTGGTGAGTGGCACATCCCACAAGACAGCAATATCCAGGGTGTGGGTGGGTGCTGATAAATTATAATTTGGCTGTAGTGATGAAGACCGTGAATATCGAGCATGGAAGAAGTCCATCATGCTGCTATATGGACGGCTAGCCACTCACAAGTATGCGTCGCTTTTCCTGCGCCCAATCACAGATGACCAGGCCCCAGGCTATAGCAGTATAGTGCACAGGTATGGACTATTTCCTTAAGTATACATGCTGTTATCTTTGTTGTTTGATATTTCTCCTCTGTGTGGGATGTTTACCTCTTCGCCATAGCTCAAGCAGTTAGTTGCTGGCTTCCTACAGCAGCGGCCCGGGTTCGATCCCGGGTCTGCTGAAGTGGGATTTGTGGTGGAGAAAGTGGCGCTGGGCTGGGTTTTCTCTGAGTACTTCAGTTTCCCCTGCCAATCTTCATTCCACCAATTGCTGCATAATCACCCTCACCTATCATCTGGGGCTGGTACAATAGGCCAGAAGTGGCCACAGTACAAGGGACTTAGTCCTACCACACTAGCAATAAAAAAAAAGCCTCCTCTTCTGTCTCTGTCCTTCCAAAGCCCCTCTAAATTTCATCCTGTATTCTGATCAGATTGGTTGAGCATGTCATATGGGCCAATTCCAATGCTTCCTGTACCTGCTGTTACTGTCAACTTCCAAAATCCTGGCTTCATTCCAATCTTACCTATGACTTCATAGGCATGCTGGGCTAATTTTGATTTTTCTAGAAGCCCCATGTTGAGAGGCTAGAGGTCTGCCTGTTTCACCAGTGTAGCTTCTGCCACATTCACAGGGCATGCTATAGACCAGGCTGGAAAGAGATCCACTACAAATGACACAGTGCATCTATAGCATTGCAATCAGCCAACCGAGTTTGGACGTTCCTCCCATCTGGATCTCTCTTTATCAGTAATGAAGTTACCAACTCACAGAGAAGTTCTGTATGATGCGACAGGTTCCTCATGGTTTGCTATAACATTCTACTAGTTATTTCCCTTTGACATAGCCTGCTGTCAGGTATTTAAATAGCTCTAGTGGATCTGACTGATGTTAGCTCTTTCTAATGGATCGAGCATAGTAGATGTGTCCCCCATTAGCTTTTAGATTACTGGACAACAGAGACTCCAGAAACTCAGTAATTCCGAGTGTTATACACCATCATCGGAACTCTTTAGAATCTTCTAGAAGAACTGTATTTCCTGTGTGGTCATGTAATATTTGATACTCTGTATATAGTGAAGGGAAAGTAGACAGTTCTTGAAATTCTTGTTTCATTTATTACTCTCTCTGATGTGGTTTGTCCTTACATGTTTACAAGTCTCATCTTAACCATTGTTAGTGTACTGATGTCTGTCTGTACCTGCTTCAGACCAGCATTTGAGGAATGTATGTACAGACAGTGAATTTCATGTGTGTGGGGGGTGCAGGCCCA